TATTCCCACAAAGGAGTTGTGGGAAGGGGGAGGCCGCTAGAGAAGCGGTACATTGAGATTTTTGGTGTTGGTTGRAACGAAGTTAAGAAGGAGCTATCTATCAACTCCCAGAGAGAGAGATACCACTGTAGCGTATTTCAAGCAGAGGTGGCTGCTATCAAGGTAGCAGTAGATGTWCTGCTCCGAAGTTCTGCTTCCTGCAGAGAGATATGTTTTCACTTCGATAGCCGAGCGGCTGTACTGTAACCGTTAATATCTTCCTTCCTGTTGCAATTAAGACCTCATACTTGGAGAGTCTTTCCTAGCGGTGATTACGTATCAACCAGCATCAAAAAACATTCACTTTTCTTGGCCCACCCTAATCTACAAACTAATGTAGGCATATGAACTATAAAAAGAGTGTATCCGTATGAATAAGTAAGTCATGTATATTTGTGTTAACAAATAATAATTTGCTACTCTTGTCACAGTACACGTTGCTTGCCTCTTCAAATATTGATGTGTCGTATTGTTTGACACTTGCAATTGTCAAATGCTTATATGTATGTGYATATGTGTCAYCGSCATTTACACTCAACTCGCGCSCTCAAAAGTTATTGCTCAAATATGTTTGTAGTTGTTTTTGTATCAATATGCTTTTCTTGCTATTATTATTGTTATTGTTGTTCACATTGCTTTTACAACAAAATTTTCTATTTCTATTTTTGTATACATTCTGCGTACAACAATTGCGTACCGGTTAGCATATGTATGAGTTTATTTAATGTGTTCCTACGTTTGTTYGTATGTACATATGTAAGATAGTTTGTGCCTTTTGCAAAATTTGTTACAATTCAATTCAAAAGTGTTGATTGTTGTATAATGAATATTACATGAATAAAATCTATGCAAAATTTGAGCGTTCCAATTCGCAAAAAAAAAAAAAAAAATTTTTTAAATAATACACTTTAAATGATAGTAATAATCGAATAATGTAAACCTGCAACGAGGCTATAAAGTAGTTGTAAAAAGAAATGAAAATGGCTTTCGCTTCGTTGTTGGCTCTTTTTGCCGGCGCATTAATAGGTAAGTAGCGAATGCTGAGTGAGAAGCCCAAAAAATTTGAAATTTCAAACAACTGCATCAATCATACAAATTCGCACTTATTTTCACTTCTTTTTTTGTTGCCGCTTTATTGCATACATATGTACATACATACATATAAACACGTTACCATATTTTTACTCGCTACTTTGTTTTTTATTTGCAGTTGTGTTTAGGGGTTTGCTGTTTATAGTACGAAATAAGAAAGGACGTTAACTTCGGTTGTACTGAAGCTAGAATTATTTTGCAAGTGAAAAGTTTCATTTGCATAGTTTGTATGTATGATATTTATAAGCTGTAGTAATCCGATCTAAAAAAAATTTCGGCTATTGTAGCGTTGCCTTAYTAAATAATCAATGCCAAACTTCCTGAGTATATTTAGCCAAGTACAAAAGTTTTTCATACAAGAACTTGATTTTGATMGTTGAGTTTGTGTGACAGCTATGTGGTATGGTAAACTAATCTGGAGCAGTTTTCTAGATCTTATATCAGAAAATAATTATGCATATGCTATAATCACCCGATATTAGAGGTGGCGAATGAGCAGCTTCTTGCGGAGAAAAGGATATATGCAAAATTCCAGAGCGAAATTTCAGATGCCTGCTTTGAACGACTAATACGTTTTTGATAGAGAGGMTTCCTGAAGTCCACACATACGGAAATAGATTTTGAAATTTTTTTCACCGTAGTTCTAATGTAAAAATCTAAAGCCATTCCAGCTTGGAACATTAACGAAACATTGAGCTAAACAGCTTGTTAAATACCGTACTCGTATTTACGAAAATATCCTAACCAAATCGCAATCAACATCCTATCTTTTGAATGCTTCTTTACACCAACTTTCCGTCTTATATAAATCACCTTGCATGATAAACGTTATAAAATATATTAGCAAATCGTCATATACTTTTATTTTTGCTATGCCTCGCTTGGTCGATATACAACCATATGGTGTTCCACTTTTAATAGCTTTTGGGTAACAGAAACGACCTATATTTGTCCAAGTAAGATCCACCGATTTTCTGATCAACCTATTGATTGCGCAAAACAGTAGGGCTTCTATTCCTTTCTAAATTCCTTTCGGTTTTCATATTGTTTTTACTTTTGTTTTAAAATAAAGGATCTTGTCATAATTTGACCCTTTGACGTTCTTTATAAAAATAAAATACTCAATCTTTGAAAAAATCAATGTTTTTAAAGTAAATATGTSAAATAATATATCAGGAGGTTCTCTATTTTTTAAATACAATCAATTTTAAGGGGGAATGTTAATGCCTATTCGAAAGAACATTCTTTCGCATTTATTTCTTGATGATTATCTCTTTCAAATATTTTCTGGGGCTAAGTTTCAGATGTTGTTTCCGTTGAGTCTAATTTAGGATTACTCGTTCGAACACTTCGTACATTAATTGGTGAATGACACGCGTGATGCTTTGCTTCAAGGCCTGAATCGAAGCGGGATTGTCCGCATATATTTTACATTTTACATATCCTCACAGTAAAAAGTCCAACGGTGTGTTATCACACGATCTTGGTGGTCAATCGAACTGCTGAAAACGTAAAATTATCTGTTCATCGAAGTGTCACTAAATAAATCCATTGTTTGATGCTATATGTGGGAAGTGCCGCCAACTTGTCGAAACCAAATGTCGTTTTCGGTTGGCTTTCATGGCGCTGTAAGGCCAATGATGATTACGTTCTCCCTGACATCATTTTTGAAGAATTATCTACCGWTGATTCCATCTGGTTGCTCTTCGTCYCAAATGCTGTGATTTTACTTGTTTACGTACRGGTTGAGCAAAAAATGRAASTCATTGCTGAACAAAATTTGGATCGAAAACGTCGGATCTTCTTGRAACTTTTGAAGAGCCTATAGAGCGCAGCGATGTCGATTAGGGTGCCCAAAGTAAACAGGACATGGGTTTTTCGGCAAAATCAATTTATTTTGATCAAATAGTCTCCTTCTGATTCAATACAGCTTTTTGCATGGTCCAAAAGCAGGTAGAACGAGTGTTTTAGCTCGTTGGTCGTTATGGCCGTCAGTATGTCAGTGCAATCCTTTTGCATTTTTMCGAAAAGSAAGAAGTSRCACGGTGCCMTATCAAATGAATAAGGGGAGTGGTTAATGGTTAATATGTGTTTGGTCCAATTGACCTTTTTAATAATGTCCTTCAACTGTTGRATTCCAAATGTTYGGTCAAAATGCRATAAATCGATGTTCAATTCCATTTCCATGAATTTCAATTATGACCTCGGCTGATTTTTGTTGAATTTACAAATAGTTTCCATTGAATTTCCACTTTGAAAACGTTGAAACCAATCGTGCACTCTGCTACGGGATAGGCAATCATCGCYATTAATTGGAACGATTTGGTAAAAGTGTTACCAATTTTAAAACAAAATTTAATGTTGGCTTTTCGTTCGGGGCTCATTTTCACACCGATAACACAAACATACTGAAACGTAAAACGCAATAACTTCACTTCAAATCAGTGAAATGTCATGAAATTCTCGATAAAGATTTAAAGCAGATTCTAACGCACCAGTCGGCATATACATAGATGGCGACACCAGGAGGCGCTAGATTCAAAAAGTTCTGTTTACTTTGGAACGCACCTTGTACATAAGTTGAACGACCTGTAAACGTCGTTCAGGACACTTTCCATGATGAAATGCYAAGCACTATTGAACAAAAATCAAAAATAATATGACAGCCTCACACAAAATATAACCGCGATTAAAAAAATACTACTGAAAAAAATACTTCTACGGGGATCACCCTTTATATATTAATAAATAAATTATTCTACCATATTTACTATTTTTTCTTTATGTTAATTTTTCAAATACTTACAGTAGTATATATGTATATATGTATAYAAACATACTGATAGGTCCTTAAATATTCTGATATTTTTTAGACTAAAATAACTATTGCATCTATAACTTCGGTTTCGAAAAACTTTGATTAAAGTTTTATGAAATATACTTTTGTTAGTTATTTTTTAAAAAAAGGTGTTTCAAGTAGTTTACTTATTCTGGGCGAACGAGCAGACTAAAATATCGAAGTTTATATATCTAATTTTTTTTCCTTATAAGCCAAAATTGTGGAAAGTTTATTAATTACATATTTGTTTAGTAACTTGTTTCGAATTCTTTTGGTTTTGATATTGTATACAGATTTATATAAATAGAGCTTATAAAAATATTTAAGGAATCTTACTTTATTGATTCGATATATTTGCCGCTTGTRACTTATTTGTGGTTAGTCAACAAGAGACAACGGTGGACATAAAAATATTCTATGGAACGGTGTAAAGTCATGCGAGTTAAATCCTATTTAAGTACTTATGTAGAATATTGGCTTTCGCTTTGGCTGTTGATATTAGCTGGAGAGGTACTAGTTTCGACACTGGGGCATAGCCTTTTAACAAAAGCATTCAAATTGTGGTAGGCAAAGCCTTGAGAGTTCTAAAAAATTATTATATGCCTCTATAGTCCGGCTCAAATTTGATCAGATAATAACAAACAAAAAAAAAAAAAATTTGCTGCTTCAAAAATATTGAATAATAGTTATAAATCTCAAATGATAGCTAAAAAGTATCTGGTAAAATATAATGATATAAATTATTTTTATATGGAAGAGAAATCGTTTAAAAAATCTCACAATGGGTTGTAGCAAAATCCAATTCCAAAATGCAATTAATTTATATTGTTATAATTTTATTTAAAAGAAAATCTTTATATCAGTTACTTATATACATATTTTAGTGCTATATACATACATATATCGTCATATGTTTTATCATTTACCTACATTGAACTATATTCTGAAAATTAAAATAAAAATAGTTATAAGTTCACCGTTATTTTCGCAATACAAAAATAATCAACAATTCTCTCTGTCTTTTTTCCAGCACAATGCGAAATCAAACCATCATCCGCTTCCTCTCTGCAACAAAAGCAACAACACTTGCTGCTGCAACAAAGGAGCATCGTGGCGTTCATGTTGGCGCTGACACTGGTCTTAGGCATTCCGTCAGTAAATGCATTTTTCTAAAACACAAAAACAATGTTAGGAGCGCACAAGTAGCTCAGACAGGCAATAAATGCGAAAATTTACAATATCAAGAAAAAAATAACATGCATATTATTATAAATGAAAATATTAACAAAATGACAAACAATTTATTATTACCAACTAAAGAGACATATACACACACACAAACTGGCACACATATACACACATAAAGGCTTATAGCGAAACGCAAACTGAAAATAAATCAATAAATTTGTAAAGAGCATTCATTGTAGAAAGTGTAGTTAATGTAAGCGTAGATGCAGTTTGGGCGGAATGTAGTATAAATTTACATATACATATGTGTGTGTACATATGTATGTTCAAGCAATGGTTTTTGTTTAATTGATATAAAGCGCACACAAAAAGATTTAATGAGAAAATGTGTGTTAGAAACTCCTTACAAACATACTATTTACATACATACATACATAACAACGAGTAAATGCATTTGTATTGCTTATTCGGAAGGCCTTGTGCGTATAAATGTGTAAGAAAAATTTGTAAATTTATTTTTTAAACATATTTTTGCTTTTTAGTTGAAATTCGTTAGATATTAAAGCGTTAAGGTGTGTCCATTTTAAGTTTTTGTATTTAAAAATAAAGCATCTATTTAATGAAAATTATATTTAAAAAAAATTTGGAAGA